ACGCCTACATGTAGTAGTTTTGTTCTGGTCCTTCATTTGGGGAATGTTGCCATTTCGATGGATGTGTTTATGAATGGGAAAGACGATGAGCAGACGTGTTAGGAAAAATGAGGGTCAACCTGTGAATGGGACACATGATTCCCGCATATGGTACAAGTTGGTTTTCGCTAAGAGCGTGCATGACAGCTGGGAGGAGTGAGGGAATGTTTTTTTTTTCTTTTGCGTTTACATGAGGGAAAAGCGCTGTAGTAGAGATATATTCTAAGCGATGTTTACTGAGATTTTTCTAACATAGAGACATATGTATAGGCAAGATTAAAATGCTTTTGCCAGGCATCTAGGTTGGTGTGTACCTGGCTCTTGAATATCATCATCTTAAACGATTGGCTAACACTTACACAGATAATAGTTGGATGTTTATTTTTATAAAGACTCTCTGGACATATATTTGTTTGAGCTGTTGGGCTTAAACATATGTATATGTTTGAAAAAAGGGGTACTGAACTTTTATGCAGTATCGGTCCTAGAATTTGACAGTGAATGCTGGACAATCTCCTCATATACGAAGAGAATTGATGCAGCGAAAATGTGTTTCTACAGAAGAATGCCGAGTATAGAATGAACTGAACACGTGAACAACGAAGTTTTAGTGAAAACAAAAATGACACTGAAATTTAGAATCAGAAAGCAACAATTGAAATTTCTGGGGTACATAATGATGAAAGAATACTTGGAAATTTTAACACTCTCATGGCATGTTGAGGGACAGGATTGAAGAGAATAATTTTTGTAATGTCAACGAATACTCGTTGCCACTTTCGTCATGCTCGTTGTAGTAGAGACTTTGTAATCGCAGATACAACTGTAATAAGGCCGTTGAACAATGTTGGTGTCAAACGCCTTTGAATAACGCTCGCACTAATATTACTTGTTCGATAATACTCGCTCGTATAGTTATCCGTATAGTGATCCGAAAAGAGAAATAGTAGCGTAGAGAATAGCGGCCTATATAGCATAGAGGATAGACTAGAAATGCAAATGAATTAGACGTCACAAAACCTCCTACTTATGTGTTTCCTTTATGGTCACGTGGTCTAATTAATTCAATAATGGGATCGCCTGTGTTTATTCACTGGCGATCTATGTTCAAACTCAAGTGTCGTCATTGACACTTTATTCCTATAAACTTAACGAGTTTGGGTAAATTGTCAGAAAGGGGAATAAGAGAGATAGCAAAAAGGCAAACACTTCTAAGAGCTACAAAGGACAGGAAGTTATAGCCATAATCTCCCACATCCTGAAAGTACGCACCAGTTAGAAAAAGAGTAGTTATATATGTCTATAAATAGGTGTGTATAATGATAGACATATAAATATGCAAAAGAAAAATTGTCTGGCAAGATACAATAAACCAACTTTTAGCAGACATAGCAAGTCATTCAATATAATCTTTCCATTTCATATCAGCAGAGAACGTTAGCCCGCAAAGACGCAACGATTTACTCTCCTAGAGGTTAAAATTAGCCATGCTGATGGAAAGTAGAATGGAGGCCTTTAATAGAAAGCAGTTTTTTTTTGTTTTTGTTTTTTGAGGCTTTAAAAGTAACAAGCCATTTCTTGCGCCAGTTAACAGCAGATTTTAGGTCACTATTGAGATCAGCTGCCTATTGTTTTTGATGTCTCCACTAAATGGATCCCACTATGGACTGTCTCTTTTGTTGACAATCATGCTGCCTTCATACAGTTAATAGATAGTCTATTCTTTTTGTTTTCCTTTCCTTCCCGACCGCGTCTGTCACACACAACTATCATTTATACGGAAACCGCAGCGTTACAAATAGGTAAGTGTGTGTATATTTATTCAAACGTGTTTGTAGCGCCTTGTTATGAAACTAAGAGGACGAAAACCAACAGGGAACATGACGCAGAAAGGGCGGGTTTTTTGGGTTTTTTAATAACAAAAAAAAAAAAAAAAAAAAAAAGAAAAGAAATATGACGAGTTTGGAGAGCGTATTTGTGCGTCTGCGCACTTCAATTTTTTTCTCTCTGCATGCAGTCGTAACTGTTTAAACAAAATGATTGCTTGACGGAAGCTCTTGTGTGTTACTGTCGGACAGCAGTTATGAGACTTTGAATAGATTGACGCATTGGCTCGCGTGAGGGGGTTGCAATTGATTTGAAAAATGAAAATTTCGGCCATTAATAGAAATCGGTATAAATTATCCGCGTTTTTTTTTTGTTTTGTTTCCCTCGAGCTCTTTGATGGTGCAATGAACGGTACTTTGTCCATGTTTGTTAACCGTCTCACAAATTTGGTTTTCTTGCTAAACCAAATATCGTGCGAGGCTTTTATATCAGGAGATGACCAGTAATGAATGGTCCGCTTATTATTCCCCTTTTATAGCTGACATTATTTGCTATCTTTATCAGCTTCACTGGAAAATGAATGATAGAGCCGAATCAGCAACGCCCTATCGTATGTATTATAAATAGTGTAGCCACGTGGCGGCATCTACATAGGCGTACGTGTGTACTCTCTCTCTCTCTCTCTCTCTCTCACACACACACACACGCACACACACACATGTGTCTTTGTATTTGTGTACAAAGAATGGCAGTGGTACATATGAAATAATTCTCCATGGTGACTGTCGGTTTCAGGCCTAAAATAATCTTCAAAACACGCAGTATGGATTTCATATCCATAATGTCTATATCTACGATACCGAAGACATTTGCTCTAAATATAGCAAATGTTTATATATATATATATATATATATATATATTACCAGACGCTTGAATGGTTAACAGCAGGTCAAATGACGTTTACCATATAGGAAATTTATCGAACATTCAGGTAAATGTTTAATTAAAAAACAGAACATTTACTTAAATAAATTATATCTATAAAAATAACGTATAAACAGAAAATGCTTTCTCCGGCATGGTTCGAACCCGCTTTCCCCTTTCTAGGGGGAACAAACGTTTGCGATAGTGTGCTTACCGCATATCTGAGAACACTGAATTATTTACTATATATGAGTAACTTTTAATAATAATAATAAGAAGAAGAATAAGAATAAGAAGAAGAAGAAGAAGAAGAAGAAGAAGAAGAAGAAGAAGAGATATATGATGAACCCTCCCGTCGTTTTCGACGTATGAGTGTGTTTCAGTTCTGTTTTTATGTTATGTTTCGTATGAGACAACAATCCTGCACGAGATTTGCAAACAAATCCACACGAAGTGCACACTGAAGGGTTGATCATCATATGGGCTGATGTATTAACCCGAGATTTAATGTTAATTCCTAATTCTCTCAGATGGTTGAGACGATTCTTTTCAAAATTAGTTATGCCTCAGTGGCAGGTTTTTCTCCAGTTTGCTCGGTTTTCAACAGCAACTTCGAACTCAATTGTTCGAACTCAATTGCAGCAATTGTATTTAAATTTATCCTTGAAGAAAACCAAGGACGACCTCAGTTACGCTTACCATGAAAAAGTTGGTTATACGTGAGGATTTTCGGCATCCGATCATCACTCATTCTGATGACATGACCAGCCTATCTGATCTGTGATTATATCAGAAAGGATTCAATACCACCGACACAACATTTGATGAAAAGATCAGGGTTAGAGTTTGTTCTGCCATGTATAACCGCATATTGAACGAAGACAGCGTTTATGAAAAACATCAAGTTGATTGATGTGCATCCTGTATGGCGTCCACGATTCTGTCCTATAAAGAAGTGTACGGAGAAAATGACTGCTCGATAGACACTGATTTTCGTTTTCAGTGAAATCCCATGAACAACCCATAGGCGATGCTTAAGCTTCCCAAAGGCATTGGTTGCCTTTGATGTTCGGTTAACTATTTTGCCATCCGAAGAGGCACTTGAATTGACTTTGCTTCCTAAGTACGGGAATGATTTCACATACTTCAGATTGTTGCTTATAAAGTTTGACTTTTTTTCACGTTCTTTAGACTGTATTCTTTCTCAATGTAAGTCCTCAGAGATGTAGTTTTACCGACGATTGTTGAAAACCTTAGAATTCTAACCTCCGGGAGAGTGACTCATTGCGAAATGAAGTGAAAAGAGTATATTAAATCAACTGCTAAATCTGCAACTAAGAAAGCTGGTTCGCAATGTCGAGCTAGACAATTTTTTCTCGACAGACTCTATCTTACATATTTATAAGTTTACTATTCGTCCATGCTTTGAATATTGCTGCCACATCTGGTTGGATGCTTCTGCTATATATTTAGAGATTCTTGATAAAATTCAAAGAAAAATATGCAATTTCATTGATCCTGACCTGGCATCTCGGCTTCAGTCCCTTTCCCACAGCTGTAATGTAACTTTCCTGTGTCTTTTCTGTAAATACTTTTATGGTAATTGTCTGATGAACTTTCCTCTATGGTACTTATACTTTATGAATGTAAGCTCAGTACTAGATTAACGCTAAGGTCTCATCAATTTACAATTTAAGTGGCTAGATGTAACCTTACGTTCCGTGCTAACAGTTTCCTCTATCGCTCTTCTCACTTGTGGAACACTCTTCCCCAGCCAACTTTGATCTTCAAAATTTTAAATGCAATGCCAATCGTTAACTTCTGTCGTCTTAAATTCTTGTTCTTTTATTGTCCTCACTCCTTAATAGTAGTTGTTTTTCTCATATTCTCTAACAATCAGTAACCTCTTGCGTCATAGTGGATTTATTGCCTTACTTGGGGTGAAATGATTAAAAAAAATATCATAGAAATTAACGACTGTATTCTCTATATGTGAGAAACAAGAAATTTCTAAAGGGGTTAGAAATTCCAATGAAAAAGACAGTCGAAATTCTTGCAACGTATAAGGCAAAAAAAGGACACTTGGAGATATTAACATTCACAAGATTTATCGATGTCAAGAGCGGCAAATTAATATACTTGACATGCTAGCATAAACCTATAGAAGGGGGAAATACCCTACAGATCATAAAGAAGAAAATAGTGCGAAGTGAAACAAAAGATAGGAGTCTAATAATTTGGGTTTCGTGGAAACATGGAGAGTAATACTTGAAGAGTACTAAAAACAGTAGATATCCCTAGAAATAGGCAGCTTAATGAGATCTATTTACCTCCACAGATTAAATAAAGTGTCCATCCAGATCGACAAACACTTAGTGAAAGCCATAAGACACATCTGCCAAAACGTTGTACTAATAGCAACAAAGATGAGCATATATACTCCTAATGTAAATAATGATAACATTCTCAGATAGGAAATATAAAAAACATGCGATTACCGGCTGTGTGCTGAAATACAGGATTACAGCCATCTGACGTCGAAACACCAGATCTCTTTCGATCACCAGTTAAGCAACGTTGAGCCTGGTCAGTACCTAGATGGGTGATGGCCTGGGAATGCCGGATTTTAATGATGTGATAGATTAATGCTCGGGATTAGAATCCGAAGGACTAGAAAACTGTCGAAATCTTTATATTCACTTACACGCAAACGTCCCTCAGGAAAGTATGTAACTATCTCATATCCCCCAGCTATGGGTTAAAAAGTGAAGGTTCTAGAACCTTGACTGGAAACCAGCGTAGCTCGGGAATTATTTTGCCAAGTCAATAAGAAAGGAAAGAAGGGATGTAGGTTGGTTTTCATTAAACTTCTCTGCTTGAATAAGTTGCATCAACTGTCTTTGTGATTGTTTCGGACTCTTAAATCTACTTTTTTTTCCTTCTAAAATCAGCCATTGCTTTATTCTTGTGTGTACAATTTAGTTGGTAGTACTCGTCATAACTGTACATGTAATTTGGTGGAAGTTTAAGTATTTATTATTGTGATGCCAGTACTTTCTATTCCGTTCATTATTAGTGGCGGTGAAATAAAATCTTCATATCTTATTGCTGTAGTAAAAATGGGAATAATGGCGACAGCAATCGTGTAGCACGGGTGATGACAGCGCTCTTTATTCCGCTACCATTTGGACAGTCAATATTTATAGTTGTTAAGACGATGGCAGTACTAAGAGAAACGTTAGACATCAGTATTTAGTATTATGGACGGTGGTCTCTTAACAGTTCGTTCATTTAACGGTGTTTTTCTTTAGTATCTCGCTGCCAATGAGAAACGATTCTTCATCTCAACCAATTTGTTTTTACGGTCTCTGATGTAAAAGGCAGGAGAATGCTACCGATCTTAACTATTACACACATATTCGACTTCTTTCGGATAAAGAAAGTTTTCTATTGAGCACACATCTGGGGTTTTTTACCATATTTTCTCTTTCTCTCTTCTCGATTTCCTCTCTCTCTTTTCTTCTGACGTTTCTCTCTTTCTATCATCTCTTTGTTTCTTTCTGTCTCGTCCTGATTCTTTCTGGGTTTTTTTTCTTTAAACCGCTTCTATTTCCATTGCTTTTCACTGACATGTCTGCTTTCTCTCTCTACTTCTGTATTTTTCGCTCGCTCCCTCTCACACACTCCTTCCCTCTCTCTTATCTGTCCTCTTTCTCTTTTTACCTTATCCCCCTTTCTCTCACACGCATATCCTTCCACAGGTATTTGCTTTCTCTCTATTATCTTCCTCTCACTCTCTCAATTATATTCTTTCCTCTCTACTACGTCCCTCCTTTTCTCTCTCCCACTTATACCCCTTTCTCTCTCTCCCGGTTATACACTCTCTATCTTTCCCATTTTTCTTCGACATATGATGCACACAATATTATTGCAAACAATATTATTACATCTTCTCACGTCAGTCATGGATTAAATAGCAGGGCAAACTTTCTATTTCTTTCTTCACTCCGTTTTTTCTCTCTCTCTCTCTCTCTCCTACCTGCTTTCTCTCTCTCCCCTATCTGTTTTCTCTCTCTCCTACCTCTCTCTCCCTATCTGCTTTCTCTCTCTCTCTCCTACCTGCTTTCTCTCTCTTATCTGCTTTTTCTCCTATCTGCTTTCTCTCTCTCTCTCCTATCTGCTTTCTCTCTCTCTCTCCTACCTGCTTTCTCTCTCTCCGATCTGCTTTCTCTCTCTCCCCTACCTCTCTCTCCTACCTGCTTTCTCTGTCTCTCTTATCTGTCTCTCTCTCCCCTACCTCTCTCTCATATCTGCTTTCTCTCTCTCTCCTATCTGCTTTCTCTCTCTCCCATACTTTTCTCTCCTATCTGCTTTCTCTCTCTCCTACCTGCTTTCTCTCCCTCCTATCTGCTTTCTCTCTCCCCTACCTCTCTCTCCTATCTGCTTTCTCTCTCTCCCCTACCTCCTCTCTCTCTACCTGCTTTCTCTCTCTCTCTCTCTCTCTATCTGCTTTCTCTCTCTCCATACTTTTCTCTCCTATCTGCTTTCTCTCTCTCCTACCTGCTTTCTCCCTCCCATCTGCTTTCTCTCTCCCCTACCTCTCTCTCCTATCTGCTTTCTCTCTCTCCCCTACCTCTCTCTCCTACCTGCTTTCTCTCTCTCTCTCTCTCTCCTATCTGCTTTCTCTCTCTCCCCTACCTCTACTTATCTGCCTTCTCTCTCTTTCCTGTATATATCTGCTTTCTCTCCCCTACTTACGTATTTTTCGCTCTTTCTCTTTCTCACCTGCCCTCTTTCTCTCTTATCCATCTTTCTCTCACACGCATATCATCGTTTCCTTACTACCTCATTCACTTTCTCCATCTCTCTAATATCGTCTTTTCTCTCCCATTTATCCAACCCTTCTCAGTTCAGCTTTCGCAAGATGCTTTCAAGCTTTCAATTCCATCCATCCATATATATATATATATATATATATATATATATATATATATATATATATATATATATAACATTTGGGTCACTAACACACGCAAAAGAGAATGTCTCGTATCGAGAATATTTAACATCGAAAAACATGAGAAAAATTAATCATTTTTAATAATATGTGGAAATATCCACTCTTTGCCTGATGATGGTCGCGAGACCAGAAACCCGTGTAGCAAAATTATGGTAAATAAAGCATAATATATATTTTTTTTTTAAATCCACATTGCAACCAAAAACGCTTGCGATTTCTCTTTTTTTTTATATACACACTTTTCTCTTGTTGGAACTACTATAAAGCTCTTCCCTTATAATATATATATATATATATATATATATATATATATATATATATATATATATATATATATATAAGATTAGTGTAGATGGAATAAAATTCCAATAACCAAAAAAAATACTCAATACAGAGTAGGGCAAATATAATTTATTCGAAAATATCAACACCATCACCTGATAAGACGCCAGAAGTGTTGAAACAAAATGGCTATTTTTGTATTGATTTTATAACATATTTATGTTATAATTTTCGAATAAATTATATATATATATATATATATATATATATATATATATAATGTTCTCTACGTATACGTATTTACTTACCATTTCTGCGTATACGCTCCCACAAGCATTGTTTTTAATATTTACATATGAGGGAAATTTTAATTACATATTTATTAACCGTGATCAGAATTCGAACTAAGGTGAAAAGCATACTTTTTTCTGTCTGACGCTACACAATACTTCCTACGACACTTTTAGAGCAATTGAATGTATTAAATAAATTATATACTTTCTCATGAGTCATAAGCACGCTGATTACGTGACTAATGAAAAAGTATATAATTTATTTAATATTTAAAAATATTTTGGGGTTACTTTTGATTCAAACTTCAACTATTCATCGATTTCACTTGAGCAGACTTACTGTCATATGAGGTTAAAACGACTTCGACCGCTATCAGTTCCTAGATGGGTGACCGCTTGGGAATATCAATTGCTGTAAGCTCGTACATGCGGGTGCTGTAATGCATAACGGCTCAGAATTGGAAATCGGAGTGTGAATTCAGGTCGTTATATTCACTTAGAAGCAAATACCCTTTGGAAAGGAATGAATGCATCTCTTCTCGCTCCACACCAGCTATGGCTTTATTAGTAGGACGTACTACCAGTAAATCATTATTATCTAAAAAAAAAAATGTCTTCCAATCTAAAAATATTATCTAAATATTGATAGTGATTTATAAGCGTAGCTTAGATGCGGCACAAGGCCGAAAGTATGGAGCCCCCAGTGAGGATTGTACTCACTACTCAGTCGTAATTAGCGTCAAAAGGTTACTAACATTTACACCAGATCCAAGTGCTTCCTGTAAAAGGTTGATAAGCCGTAACAAACAAATGAATGAATAATTCACTTAAGTATATCAAAATGTCAGCCTAAAATGCCTTCTTTTGGAACTGCTTAGATTTGATTTTAAAAAAAAACATGCTTTTTTACCTAATGTATTTGCCGAAACTTGGTAAGGGCGTCTATAGGGACAACGTATGTTCGGCTTAAGCTTTCTGTCCGCCGAAGCGATATCCCAGCACTTTTATTTACACATAAACAATATGGCCGACACGGTACTTCCGTATCCGAACAATAGCTGAAACTTTGCTTCCGTTACATTAGTTCCCGGTTACAACACTCTTTATTTGTTTACAATTCGTGGTGGCAATATTCGAAGCGGATTCGTGCCTTCTTTCAAATGTCTTTTGCTGAATTCGAACCCGGTTCACCGATTTTGTTTTCGTATTGATATTAGTTACTGCTGTCCGAACTTTCCGAAATGACGTACGCCTATCTATAGAATGTTGGTAAAATAAAGAAGCAGAGAAAGAAAGAGATAATGTGGACTTGATAAATACACTCAGTAAAATTGAATCAAACGTCATGGAACATTATCGAACTTTGCCTTAATAATACTGAATTGAAACTTGATTAGATTGAGTAAAGTGCGTGTCTAAATCTGTTCATACTGAGACATAGCAACTTTCATATTTGCTATCCATTTAATAAGATTCATCTTTCTCTCCTCCAAAAAGAAGATTTTCCATATTTTAATCTAGTGCAGAGTCCAAGTCCCAAAGAATAAATGGCAAATAAATGTGTCACGTGAAGCCAGGTCACGCCAATCAGTCTCTGTGTTCATCGACAGATAATAACTCTGACCTTTTGAACCTTGTGAATCTCTTTTAAATAGCCTGCTATCATTAATATAACTCTCTCACTCTCATGTATATATATATATATATATATATATATATATATATGAGAGAGAGAGAGGGTAAATGGATGGATATCCATATATGTTACACTTTTGTGTGAGTGTGAATATATGTATATATATGTGTGAGTGTGTGTGTGTGTATATATATATATATATATATAGATAGATAGATAGATAGATATATATATATAACAGGATAGGTAAATAGACAGACGGATGAACATGTTTTATATATATATATATATATATATATATATATATATATATATATATATATATATATATAGGAGAATGTGATATATGAATTTCTATATATGAGAACAATTTTAGGCAAATGAACGAAAAAGTGGAAAAATTGTATATCACATTTCGTCATCGAGAAGGAATTCATCGGAATAAAGTAATACTTTTATTGATGGAATTATATATGTATAGGAGAAGAAGACAACAGTCCAAGCATCGGTTATAATTACGTACCGTGGGGCTAAACAATGAACACACACACACACACACACATACATGTGCGTGTGTAGTGGAAATTAAAGTCAACACTCAATGGAAACAGTCTGTTTCATGCTTAAACGCAAATCGTTCGGTCATGTACATGAAAAAGACCGTCGACGCTCGGTGGGTAATGATTTCAATATCCACTTGTATATTTACATACGCTTTTTCCTTCATATTGAGCACGTTACCCCATAAATATACCATACCGTAAAGCTATATTTTTATCATATATATACACGCATGGTGGAGAAATAATATAAAACGATCCTTGAAGAATTTGTCAAATTGAAACCTAAATCAGTTTTCTATTGGGATACAGTATATATTTATTGTCATCCACAGAATGTGTCGCTGTATCACAGCTCATCATTGTGGCTAGACATCCGATTACTTCAAGCCATCGACCCACAGTTGAAAGAAAGACAAATTTTTACGTATGTGAATAAACACGCCAATGACTGACCTTTACTAATTCGGGAAAAAGCTTGTAATATTAGTAGTAGTAGTAGTCATTGCTTAAAAATCGCACTTAACTCCCAAGAGTGTACAACCGACTTTAAGTTTTTCAGGTGCGTATATATTGTCATATTGTGTGTATGCCCGTGCGTCCGCATGGCTGTGCAATGGAGATCCGAGTTCGGATCCCATTCACTTGCGTGCAAATACCAATGGGAAATGTAAGAATTCGTCTCTTCTCTCCACCCCTAGCTATGGTTAAATAACAGAATAGAATAAAGCCTATAAACTTCCTAGCAGAAAAAATAACTCTGAATTCAAAATCTGAGTATGGCCCTCTGGGAAACCTTTTAAAATGTACGTGTACCAGTTCTCAGTATTCAGCTTTTCTTTTCTTCCAAAGAGTGTGGCTTGTTCTGCGCAGTCCTTCAGCGCTATAATCAAATCATAGTGAGTAGTCTGGCTGTTCGTTTCAAAGAACTGAATTGGTGTACCCTCATATGTCGAAAATACGATAAGTTTTTCTTTTATAGATATACTCATATATATCTATAAAAGAAAAACTTATCGTTTCGTCCTCTAGGGAACTTTTTCGAGGCAAATGTAATTTGATTTTATTTTGTAACAAGCATTTCAAAACAAGACCAAAAATGTTATTGAGTTTTGAAAACTTTTGCTATATCGGTGCTAATGAATATTCATCAGGTTAACGGAAAGGTCAGGCAATTTCATGGACGTGAGGTGATATTTTATGATGTCTGATAAACGAAAGTAGGAGGTTATTTTTATATGTATGCCTTTTCAACCAGCAAGCTACAAAAAAGGAACTGAAATTTTGACACCTATCACTCATACAATATAATACTATATATATATATATATATATATATATATATATATATATTATATAATTGTTTTGTATTCGCATTGATTATTGTGTTATTTATTTTTTTTTTAATTTTTTGTGTTCTTGTATTGGGATAGTAGTAATTCTATCAGGAAAGGAAATATTAGGAAGAATCCAGGAAGATATATATATAAAAAATATATATATATATAATTTATATATAATATATATATAATATATATATACAATATATATATATACAATATATATATATATATATATATATATATATATATATATATATATATATATAATATTATATGTATAATTACAATGAATCATTCATTTAAAAAGTAAAATAATAAAGTTAGTGAGATAAAAAATAGCGAAATCACTTCGCTAACTAAATTTAAAAAAAATATTAACCCACTAACCCCTCGATGAATGGCATGATCCTTTTTTTTCATTTTTTTTTTTTTTTTCGTTATTAACTGTATTAAGTCATCTTTAAATATTCAAGTACTTTCAACAGCTTCTCCGGTTATCATCAGGCATGGAATCTATTTTTCTTTTTGGTAAAATTCAGGTAAAAGTTAATTCGCCATTTTATCTCATTAACTTTACTAATTTATTTTTTGTATGAACGATTCATTGTAACATAAATTAAACTGCACTATATATATATATATATATATATATATATATATATATATATATATATATAATATACACTAATGTTAGAGATGTATGCGTACTACTGTTCCTAGTTGGACGTTTTATGGTTATCGATGATTCAGAGGCTTTGTCTCCGTCGAAAAGGAAGCAAAACAACAAACTCTTTCGTAGTACTTGTGCCATGCGTTCAGCATTCTGTTGATTTTCATGATATATTTTATTTACACATTTCTTTTCAGATCATATTAACAAGCATATCTTTAATCTTTTTGAGACAAAATTTTGCTGTTTGTTTTTTCTCTCGCTTCTGTTTTACTTATAGAATGATACATACTTGCGTGTTATGATACTGATATTAGGATCTATGAATACGGGTGATTGCATAAGGTCAACTTAGTATACCGATGTTAAAAATAACTAATGCAAACATTCACACGCCCATATATATGTATGTATCAAGTGTTTTCCATAAATGCGTATGAGCGCGCGCATGGTATATATATATATATATATATATATATATATATATATATATATATATATATATGTATATATATATATGTATATATATATATATGTATGTATATATATATATATATATATATATATATATATATATATATATTTATATATATATATATATATACTAGCAGTGTAACCAGTCTTTGACCGGGTCTTTCATTATTGGGATTTTTTGCCGTTCATTTGGAGCATTTTAAGTTTAAAGTCAGCCCACCCGAAAATCAATATTAGTAACAACATTTGAATGTATCTAAGGCACATCCCCAAATGTGGGGGGGGGTTAAAAATTTGAATAGGGGCTGGCCTTGAAAAGGGAACTGTATAATAATAAATAATATTATTCTAATAATTTAAAGTTTTAATGAAAGATTCAAGAACATATAGTAAAACCTTGCTGAGAGTTATAATGGACAAGAAGTAGTGGAGAGTCATTGACGCCAAAAATTTGGACTCAAAACTGGCACTGAAGAATTAACTATCAAACAAAAATATATATACTGTGTGTGTAAATAATAGTGAAAAAATAAATAACAAATAATAACATCTTATTAACATGTTTCATTAAGCCTGGAACTTTTTCAGGCTAATACCGGTTTTCTTACGTCCACTTAAGTTAAGCAACATCGAGCATGGGAATACTAGCTATTGTAAGCTTGAATGTGTCTGTTAACGGCTCACAATTGGAAATCGAAGAGTCGTATGCCAATTCTAATCGGGTTATACTAATTTAAGAGCAAATACCTTTGGGGAATTTATGAATGCACCTCTTCTCTCCCCAGTTATGGGTTAATTAGTCGGACTTGCATCAGTAATTCATTATCTCAAAAAATCTTACAATATAAAATAGTTTTTAACATTAAATAACCTGCAAAAGATTGATAAGCCGTAAAAAAAACAAATCAATTAAACCTAGCTCTGATAGTCGTGATGGATTCATAACTTTACAATGGGCACTGGTGGAATTCAAACGTGACACACCAAACCCAATTTCAGCGCCAATAACCACTACGCTATGGGCATTTTCCACTTTGGACAAGTGTAGCAGTTTTGATTTCTTCTGAAACCTTCGTGTGCCTAAAATCACTTCATTGATTGGTGATCGCTATATTTTCCGTTTTCGCTTAAATTCGTAAATTTGAGGTACCAGAGAGGAAGTCTCATCAGAACAATGGACTTAATACACTTCAACAGTCAGTCAGGACAACGTGCCGTTTCATCAGACTCGAATTGATCTCCGACGAATGGTATGGGCACTAATTTGGCCTAATATGAGCCAAAATGTCGTGGTCTATTCGCACGTCATACTGCACCTACAGAGAGAAGCGGACACCGATTGAGGCAGTATGGTTCAATATCTCTCTAGATGTATTTTGACCATACGTGTAATCATATCCACGTCGAACTGCTGCATTTCACTGCAATAAAAAATGAGCTATACGACACGTGTCAAGTACCTCATGACTTTTTTATTTTTTTGCACGCCGGTTAATCAGCTAATTACACAAGCAAATGTACGAGTCTGTCTAATGTTATACTCCCTTTGTCTTTTGGTTATTTTTATTTATTTTATGTTCTATTTCCTGGACAAATGTAATTTTATCGGCAATCCACTCATATGACATATTGTCTATATCGAGAAAGAAACAAATATCGCCAACTGCCTGATAAGTTGTTGGTCCTTCAAACCAAAATCAGCTTTTAAGCAATCAAGCGTGGATTCTGTGAACGCTAGTTAGCTTGGCTATTTAGATCGTCCTTTCTAAACAGCCTCGTACGCAACACGTATCGCTGTAATATATGCGGCAATACCTTCTTTGCTTCACGTTAATTAAAGCTTTTTACAAATTGTGCCACTGTAGCTTTTCTTTCCGCATGTATTTAGCGTAAAAGCCTCCATTCATTTCTCGTGTCGATAAGTCTTGGCC